ACACTTTCGATTCAGACCGGCTACCATCGGCCAGCTATGCTGTCGCGATTAACAGTCACCGAACCGGTTTATCAAAGAACTGTCCCGTAGCTGCTGCACGCTCACCAAAAACTCGTCTCTTGTCCGATCACACTCCCACACCTGCTCCGAAACAATTTTTCACTTGGCCCCTCGACCTTCGTACGGTTCACGGATGCCTCGATCCTCCGGCGATCGTCCTCGTTTCTGTACCGATAGAAAACACCTGTCCCTAACTGCGCGTCGACAGTTACGAATCAAGCGACGAGCACCCTGGCGACCGGTTCACAGTGATCGATCGGGACCGTGCACGCTGGGCCCGCCGGGCCCGAAACTCGCGGGAATTCTCGGAACGGCGTCGATTGGAGCCGACCGTGGGTCGTCCGATGGTGGCGGTCGTCGGGAACGTTCTCCTTTGGCGAGGCAGGCGTGCGTGCGTGTGCATCGGGTTGCCTCGACTGATCTGCTCGCACTGAACGGGACGCGAGGCGCCTCCGCTCGTTCCTGGGCGGCCATATCGGCGTTACGGCACGCCCTGAGCTCTCCCCACCGCCGGCGGCCGCCGGCCAACCGCCAGCCGCGGCGCTAACCAGCCGGCCAATCGGCTGCGAGGCGTCCTCGGCGCCTCGGCTTCGTGCAGCGGCTACGCCCAACTAATTTGAAATGTGTTTCAGCGGTAATTCGATATAAAATTGTAGTTAATATCTTTCATTATAGCGCGAGGAGGGGAGACCCCCGGCGAGCCTGGTGGTGGGGCGCGCGTTCCTCCCGCCCCTCTTCGCCGTGTGCGTACATGCGGCGCTGGAGGGGTGGAGATCACGATCGCCGGGGGTGAGCGGCGGACGGGGGAGAGATTGATACCGGGCCTCTCCCACCGTGGCTCTCTCCGGCTGCTCTCGTTCTCTCCTCGAGATCGGCGTTCCTCCCGGAGCAGTCGAGCGGGAGGAGAGGTCCGACGCGACCACCTGGAAGGGGGTTGAAGAGCCATCGAGGCTGAAGGGTGGTCCTAGGCTCTCTTGAATTTCTATCGCGGATTTACCGAGTTCGACTGCTAAGGTAGCCGAGAATCTTCGGCTAAACTACGGAGGTTTCTCGTTCGCCGTATCGAGTGTCAACCTTGAACGCTTCGCGATTTCCAGGCGCTGTTTAAAGACGAAGTGATCGATTTTGGTAAGCGTCCGTAGCGTGGCGTACCGATTGCGACGCTGATACGCGTTGACGGTCCGTTAGGCTTCACGATTAGCTCCCACGATTATCGCTGTAGCCGCTGTTAGTATCGTTTAATTGACTCGGTGACAATAAGGAAGAAGAGATTAAATAAGATCGAGCTGTTCCAGTACGAGAGGTACAGCTGTTGTTAATCTAATCTCCTATTCAGCGACGAGTGTAATGGGACGAACACGTTCGCGTTCGAGCGATACGAATCAGTGGAATGCGCCACGGCCGGACTTTGGTCAGACGCGTCGGTAGCGTATATGCTTTATTCGAGCGCGCTTCTATAGCCACACCGTGACGATCGTTTTCCACTTGTTCCATCGATCCCTTCTCGTCCTTCCGCGACGCGTCCATGGAAATAAGGAACCTGAAAGACGCACAAATCCTACGAAATTGAAGGTATATATTTTACAAAACGGACGATGAAGCAGTCGTTGAAACACAATCAAAGGAAATTTCTCAAGAACGGAATACCTTTCTCTCTCATACGATGCAAAATGGTAACTTTAGGCAAAAATTTGTCACTCGTCTATGAGCATTCAACGTGTTAACATGCACTCACACTTTTCAGCAGTAATTCTATAAGTAATCAATACAATCGCCCGGTGATTAATCTACACCGTAAACAAAGGACACAACGAAAACGTTCCTTACCCCCCTGCTGTTCCATCTGCCAAGTTTCCACCGACGCGCGGCGTATTAGCGTTCGACGCGAATCAAACGAGGCCAGAATTTGGAAACCCGTTCCAGCCGGTTCCTTCCAAACGAGAAAGCTTTCCGGCGAAAATTTCGCCGGGCAAACGGGCGCGCTGAATCGAATCTAACGACCATCTGGTCGAAGGTGTTTCTCTCCCGCTTTCCGCCGATCCGCGAATCGACGCGCGGCGCGGCGCGCCGGCTGTTCTGGTAAACTCGATTCCGAGCCTCCATCCATCCGTTTTTTCCCCCTTTTGTTTTCGGGAACCGCCGCCGGGCCGGCGAGCAGCGCGCGCCGTTCGAAACAATGTCGCGCGAAGGAATAATTATTCCGCTGTCGGTCGCCGCGCGGCTCGGGACAAATCGAATTAACCACGCGGCAGTGAGCCGAAATGGAGGAATTATAGAAATTAGGGGTAGCGGCGTCATTTAATTAGGGGACCCGGTGCTGATAGGCGGGCACGCGTCCTCGCGGCCTGCCCATATGGCGAGCGATGCGCAAGACAATCCTTTTTGTACGCTACGTAATGTATGCGCGCCGCGTCGGGCGTTGTGCACGAAACCGGTCATTATATGGTTCTTGGCGAGATGTGGAAACGGATATTACGGCTCGATCGTTAACGCGTCGAATCCGATCGGATCACTGAATTAACTTTCGATATCGTAATACCTTCGATTTTCAGATACTAAGTATCTTCGGCTGTTGAAATATTATTTCCAATGAAGGAACCTTCCTGAGTTTTCCAATAGACTTACAAAGTTTCAACTAATTGAGTAAAGCCTTGAGATAAATCCCTTTAAATCAAAATGAAATTCTTTCGACAAACGTTTACCATATAATAACGAGTCTCCTACGCCATTTTAACGTTTCAATTTCACTACCACAAATATAATCTTATAAAAATCTTAGGAATTGAATAAAACAGTTTCTCAAGCTGTGAAATATCTAATATCAAAGTTGTTAATACCCAACGAGAAAAGTGGTAACAGTTCGATCGGTTAACGCGGCAGGGTTGACCAGTTCCCAGCGATCCGGCGTTTCATGAAATTCCAAGGGTGAACTTACGCCTGACCGGGCACACCCACTGCCATTGTCACGTGCACGATCACTCGCGGCCGACTCTGCTGCGTGACGCGTGCCATTAAGCGTGCACAGCCGTTTCTCGGGAAAAACGAGAGAGCGGACCGGTATGTCAGCGTTCCGTTTTCCGTTTTCGCGCGGTGGTAGGGCTGCCGGGAAGAACCGCGTCGGAACGGGTCTGGCCCCGATGGAAAAACAGGTTAACGGAGCCTGTAATGAGACTATCAAGCCGTGACACGATTTAAACCGCGGGAATCCGAAGGCTTTCCTCCCTTGCAGGCTCGCACCTACGCTCGTGCCGCCCTTTCCCGGACGGACGTGCACGAATAATAATTTCTCCGCGGAGCCCGCGCGCACCTGGAAACCAACGTGCGCTTGTAGGCGGCTCGTTAAAGGAACACGAGGAATTAGTCACGAGTGTCACGGCCCGGGGAGGCCGGAAGACGTGGAAACGTAAGCTGCTCGCTCAGGAAACCGAACGTCCGAGCGATTCTTGCGATTCTTTCCTCAATCGTCGCGTTTCGTTTAGTGCCGCTTCGCATTCGAATCTAGGTCTAGGTTAGCTCTAAATTAGCGGTCAGCTGAAATTTGTAAGAAAAGGTGTGAGACGTTTGAAACTAGGAATTTATATAGATACTCGAAAAGAAGCCACTGGGAACTGTTAGCGCGATTAACGAAAGCTACTCGTCCAGGAAACCGAAGATCAGATTCTTATGATTCCTTTCGTTTAGTACCGCTTCGCATTCACGTTTGAGTCTAGGTCTAGGTTAGCTCTAAATTAGCGACCAACTGAAATTTGCAATAAAAGCTGTGACGACATACTTCGAAACTAGGAATCGCTAAACTGGACACACCACTGATTTATACAGATATTCGAAAAGAAGCCGCTGGGAACTGTTAGCGCGAATATTAACGTCAGCCGCGCGTTCGCTCAAGTAAACTGTAAAGTCCACCTCTCGCGATCGCCTCGAGAATAAGAGC